CTTCAACCTTGCACACAAATTACTGTGCAGGACACTGAACTGAGCTCCACACATGGAGACTGAAGCCACGATAAGGAAGGCAGCTGCTAGGGTTGCACTGAAGTCTTGTAACAATCTTTGAAAAGAAACCACAAAAGAAAGAAAGGAAACTTTCTGTGTCTGTATAGACTTCATCTCTTCAGAACTAAACCTCATTTCCCAGGGCGATTGTGAGAGGGTGATAATTAGGATTAGCTACAAGGTGGCTATCTGCCAACTCTGTCTCATAATCAGCCTTCAGTTACTCCCATCTATCTCACCATCCCTGTTTTCAGCATCTGAAAATGAGACAAGAGCCTGAGAAACTAGAGAGCAGACAATCTTAGATTCAGATATTCACCTTCATGAGGATCAATCACAAATTTTGAGTGATCACTGGTGAGAAAGTGACAAGTGATCAATCTCCTTAGCTGATCACTAATGACCTTTCATTAGGTACCAATATTTGGAATGAAAAGTTTCAAAAAGTTATGTATCTCAGTCTACCATTATGGAAAGGGCCATTCTTTTTATAAGAGAAAATAGCTTCTAATGAAGTATCATCAAGTAATAAATGGTTTAGAAAATATTTTTCAATAGATCTCTTAGATTTAGCTCACTATTTCCCTAAAATATGATAGCTATCCCAAGAATCCTATATAATAAAACCCTAATATGCAAATCGACCAAATGGTGAAACGACTGGCCGCTATGACAAGCACTGACCACCAGGGGGCAGACGCTCAATGCAGGAGCTACCCCCTGGTGGTCAGTGTGCTCCCACCGGGGGAGCACTGCTCAGCCAGAAGCTGGGCTCACAGCTGGCGAGCACAGCAGTAGTGGCAGGAGCCTCTCCCACCTCCGAGGCAGCACTAAGGAGCAGTCAGCCTGGCTCACGGCCGTTGAGTGCAGTGGTGGTGGTGGAAGCCTTGCCAGCGTAGGCCTGCTCAGCGGCCCTAGGCCAGCAGGCGGACATCCACCGAGGGGTCCCAGACTGTGAGAGGGAGCAGGCCAGGCTGAGGACCACCCCTCCCCCCCGCCCGAGTGCATGAATTTCGTGCACCAGGCCTCTAGTATTTTATGAAAGACATGAATGAAATTTTATAAAATGGTTACATATTAATTTTAACATTATAGAAAAAAGTATAATTGTACATTAAGCCCATGATTTCACAACTATTGTTTATTAGGATGAGGGCACAGTAAAATAGGAAGTTGATTCAAAGTAAATAACAGGGCAGGTGCTTTCACATATGGCAGAAACATACAGAAATAGCACAGGAATGACTCAGGCTGAGAAACACTGCTTCTACCCCATAGGCCAATGATTCCTATCATAACTAAGAAAGAGTTCCCACTCCTGCTTCTGTGGGCTAACAGAATAGCTGAACTCATCCTTTTTGATGCATTATGAGACCTGGACTATGAGCTTCACATATTTCATGAACTGTTTTAGAAGAGCAGACAAGAACAGGGGTGCATTCGATTATGATCATGCTTAGGCAGGAGACAAAAGGATCCGTGGACAATGAAGCACTTTTATGGAAGCAAGTCAACATAAAGATTTAAAAGTTTACGTTTTGTAGAGAGAATGGGGCCAGGTTTTTCAAATCAAAGGTGCTCCTAACAAAATATATACTGCTCCTGGGATTGGGTAATATGTTCTCTTCATCTTTGAATGTCCTAAGTATCCCCATAATAGGTGCTTAACAAATGAAATAAATAACCACCCATATCTTTATGAAATTAAAAAATGATATCATCAACAAAACTTAACATCTAGGAGAAAGGAAATGGTACCTTTGGGAATGACACGTACCTTGGGTACAATCTTCACGTGGAACAGTATATTTTGGAAAGAGTATCCATCATTGGCTTGCAAGACTGCAACATCAGATGTGCTATCCAAACCATCGTGAGCGTAGTAGAGAAGGCCCCTGGAGACTTCATCCAGCCGGAACTGATAGACAGGGGTTGCAGAGGACTGAAGTGTTTGAAGCAATTGGCCATGAAGTGGAGGATCCAGCACTTCAACTATCACATCCTGTGGATTGTCATCATCTCGGATGTCAAGCAGCTGGGTGGTGATGGTTCCCCTCTCTCCTCTCCTAATGTGGAGAGCCTCATTTCTCAGTACATAGGGGGGCTGTGGAATGAAGGAGAAGAAGAGAAAGAAAACATTGAGCAGGAAAAGAGAGGACCACCCAGTGGGCTAGATATCAGTTGTGTGCAACCTAATTGATATTTTGATGCTTTTTACAGAACTTTAGATGTCCTAGCAAAGTGCCAAACTATTGCATATTCACAGTATTTGTCAAAGATAGGGTTGGTCATAGGAATCACAGCAAATAAGGTTCACATCTCTGATTCTGGAGGCATCTCTAGCCACTTCAGGACTACAGTATTCATCAGAGGCCACTAAGGAGAACTGCTTGCTTCTAAATCTTTGAAGTCTCTGCTGTCTTGAGTTATACCACATCCCCTTCACTGTAACTGTGATCAGATCAGGGTCAGGCAACCCGGTCAGTTGTCTGCATCCAAGAGATGCTAAAAGACATATGGAATTTTTGCATTTGTGTTGGCAGTTGAGCACTTCATTCCAGTCCATGTTGCAGCATGCTGACTTTGAGTAAGATAATTTTGCATTCTGAATTCATGCTATTTCTGGTCCCTCCCAGTAATTTTCTTCAAGCTGTTTCATTCATATCTTGAAGGGACCCAACCCAGCTCAGGTTATAAATCCTGACAAGATCCTGATCTGAGTAAGGCAAGCACCTGGTTAATTCAAGTGGCACTGCTCATATAGCAAATTTTACTATGTTTCCTTAGGATTATCAGGTGTGCTCTTACCAACTTGAGTAAGCAGATAAAATGTTCCTTCACAAAGATAAAAGTTAATGAACCGTAATAGAAAAAATCCCTGAAAAAAAATATATATCAAGGCCAGAAGCCAAAAAAAACATTCTCTCAGTTTTTTATATCCTCTGAAGTTGAACCATCTAGGACTTTTCTCAGCACATTGCCTTCTTTAATCCAAATGGCTTTCTTTTAAAACTAGCCCTCCTGACCTCCTGGGAATTTCAATATCTATTAGAGTAATGTCTAATGAATGCATGATTATAATAATCACATAATGGGAAACTAGAAAATAGCTACTGAGAATTCCCAAGTGAAAACTCAAAGTTGTGATTCTACACATGGGAATGAAAGGCCTCTTGGATTCTAAAGAGAGAAGTCAAAGGTGATATCAAAATCCATAAATGGAAAAGACTGACTTAACTTACATGAGAAAAGGCCATGGAGCCTCAAGACCATGTTCAAATATCACAGAAATGTAAAGGAACAAAAATAAGTTAAAATTCATTTCTAAAATCCCATTTTTGAAAAGTTAAAATGATAAAAATTTCTCATAAATAAAATAAAAACGTGCCCTCACGATCTACTCACTTGATTTCAGGAAAACAACAAATATCAGGGAATCATCAGAACTCACCATCTCAGTGAGAAAGCCACTTGCTTACACCTACACTAGGCCTTTTATTCACATGTTTAGCGTAACTATATCACACAAACAAAAAGAACAAAACAAAACTCCTAAGCTTAAGTACTGAAAAACATCTAAGTCAATAAGTCCTGAGGCTTGATGTCACCCTCTGGCCCATATTTACAGAGATCACATTTTAGCTACAATTAAAACAAAATTCATACTCTTAGCTCAACTCTGAGATCAAATTAATTTAGGACCAATTTCTAATCATTCCTTAATTTCAGTCATCCCTGAAGTGAGAATGCCATCAAGAAGAGCTGAGCTGGGCTGCTCATATCATTTGGCAGCCGCTTCTGGTTCACAGTCTATGGTCCTTTCATTTTTGGACCAAAGATATAAAAATATCAGTTTAAAAACAATGACCTCATGTCCTTCCTTGAATCATGTCTAATACACTCCTGAGATCTGGATATTTAGGTAGCCTTGGCTCCCCATGATGTCCCTTTCTCTTGCCATTCACAACTTAAGAGTATATCTATCTTCCTGCTCTCTTTGCACATTTCAGATGTTCAAATTCTTAAGCCCAATTACTCAGAGTTTCTACCACTATATGTATTCTGCACACATAAGTACAACTTGACAGAGATGAGTGATGAGAAGAGAAGAATCATCACACTGAGTTTTACAACAGCTACCATGATTTCCTCCGACCAGTGCTTGGCTGATGACCCACAGGCACAACATTTAAGAATATCCTTAATAAGATCATCTAACTACTGCCAACTAAGATAAATGCAGTCTGGCTGAATAGTAGATAGGCAAAAGTAGCCAACATAATCCCATACCCATGAGAAAGAAACATTTACAAAACTAACTCATCTAAGAATAAGGAAAGTCTTAAGAACTAGAACCACTTCAAATTATTATGATGCGAACCCGGGACCCCTCAGTCCGCAGGCCGAGGCAAAAGTAGCCAACATAATCCCATACCCATGAGAAAGAAACATTTACAAAACTAACTCATCTAAGAATAAGGAAAGTCTTAAGAACTAGAACCACTTCAAATTATTATGATGGGCTAGTTTCCTATTCAGTATAGCAAAAGATGGCACCATAATCTAATGATCAAGAACAAAGAATATGCATTCAGAGTTAATGAGCACAGATCTTGGCTCTCTATTGATTAGGTGTATCCCCATAAACAAGTTACTTAAGCTCCCTGTGACTTAGAGTTCTCACTTGTAAATTGGGGATAATAATACCTCATGGGGATGGCATGAGGATTAAATGAGAAACACTACAAAGAGTATTGCAGATGTATTAGTAATGGTTGCTGCTATTGTTATTGCCTAGAAGCATTAAAAAATTATTTCAGGAGAAAACTGAGACAAGATTAATTCAGCTCATTCATTTATCTACAACTACAAGAAATCTTTATTGGTGCTTGAGAATTGGTAGACACATAAAATTATTAATAGTGTGGCATTTTTATTACCTGTGTTGAAAATGCCTGTATATTGATCAGCTGTGGCTCAGAGAAGAACTGCTGGTCACTAATTTTCAGGGAAAAGTAACCTTTCCTAAAAGAAATTCCAAAGAAGAAATGAGAAAATGCAACCATTAAATTAGTCATTAGATTGACAATGATTAAAAACATTTCCAGGATATGTGCATGGATGAATTTGAATCAAACCACTATAGTAATATAACATTCATACTATAAATAAAAATGACCAGATAAATATGAACCTAGTGAAATGCAGACAAAACTATTGTGTGTTCTTAGATCTCATTGTAACAATTATATAATTTTTCCCTATTTTTCTAAATTGAATCTATAAAAGGATGAAAATCAGTTTTTGGGCCAAGAAAGGTTAGTAATATATTGTAGGCTAATGGTAAATAAAACTAAAGAATGAAAAAGGAATCTTTCAAAACCTTTGAGTAGATCTCAATGAGTCCCTATTCCCTGCAAACCCTCTTGCCAAGTCCTACCCAATTCATATGAGTGGGTCCCAAATAACAATATTTGCAATGCTTTCATTACATAACTCTATCTGTCCAGCCACACACATGCAACATTTAATGTAGACTTGACTAGGGAAGGATGTCTGATTATTGACTATTGGGAAACCATAGTGTGGATGAGGATGTGGAGAAAGCCGGTTTGTAGGAGAGAGGTCAATGAAGCCTATGAGCCAAGACACAGAGACAAGAGAAAGAACCGAGTCCTGCTTCCTGGTCCTGGTTCTAGCTTCCAGGCTGGCCCTGGGGCCCATTGCCCTTGATGTGTTTGAGATCTAGGCCACACCTGCAATGTTACAACACACCTTACTATTTCCTTAATCTAGTTCAAGTTGACTTCCTTTACTTACAACCAAAGAATCCTAATTAAGAAAACAAAATAAGGCTCACTCTTTGTTGTGGTTTGTACTTCTCATAAAGAGTGTTGTTTCAACAGCTTCAGAGACTACTAGAAGGAAAGGTAGGAGTTGCCCGCTTCAAGCCAAACCAAGCACAGAACTCACGGTGGCCTGATAAGACATAATTAATGTATATGAGAGGGTTTGAATTCTGGTCTATGGTGGGACCACTGTTTTCAAAGTTCTTTAAAAGGTATTCTTGGAATTAACTACCAATACATGAAAGAATGTGGATGGATCTCAAAAGCATTACGGCAAAAGCCAGAAACAAAAGATTCCATACTTGCTGATTCCATTCACATGACATTTCAGAAAGGGCAAAACTACAAGGGTGAAAACAGATCAGTGTTTACCAGGAACTGGGGAAGGTAGTGACTGTAAATGGAGTTTTGGGGGTTTTATGCCTTGAATGTGGTTGTGTTCTCAAGACTGAAAGACAGTATACATTTGTTAACACTCATAGAACAGTAATTTAAAATAGGAAATTTTATTAAATGCAAACTGTACCTCAGAAAACTTAATTTAAAAAAGTTTGCTGTATTCCCTCCAATTTTATTTTTCCCTTCATTTTCTGCCCCATTTAAATCCTGCTCCTCTCCATCCCCACTTACAGCTTTCAAGAGAATACAAATGATGGGCTAGTTACTCCCAACCTACTGGGGGAAAATGATTTTTTGTTGGCAGTGAGCTTCCAATAACTGTGCTCAGCATCTCAGCAATGGAGCTTATCTTGTCTCCTATGACTATATTTACAATCTGTCTTGTACTCCACAGGAGCATTCCAACCCTAGAGGAATGCAATCCTAAAGAATTCCGGTCCTAAAGAATCAGGGTCAGTGTTTGCACGGGGGGGGGGGGCAAAACCACAAACCTGTGTAGCAGGTTGTGTCTTTTGTTCTTGTATCATTCGGAGACATACCATTTCCTTTTTTCATGAGTTTCTGCCAAGCCTGTTTCTTTTACTATTCCTCTTATTCTTTCTTTCGTTTAAATTTTTAGATAAAGAAAATCCAATGTTAAATGTGTACCCCAAAAAGGTGCTAAAAATTTCCTAAAAATAGTTGCCATTCTTTGTCCTGTTTATGGGTACAAAGCTGACTCTGTGAGGAAATAGATGATGAGAGATTAAAAAGGTAAGCTTAGAGAAACAAGAGGTTTTTCACTTTGGTTGTCTTTGAAGCTTAAAGTACTTTATACACATTTCACAAGTGATTCCAAGACAAACAACTACAGGTGTGTGTGTGTGTGTGTGTGTGTGTGTGTATGAGATATGCAAACATTTAACTATACTTGCAGCAAAAGGAATGCAGGAGATGGAGCATGAGTTTGACGGGTGATTCTATAGCATCAAGTACTAGAGTTTTAAGCACCGTTTATAGCAATACTTCTGCATGCCTGCGGAGATGGAAGCATGCCCATTATTCCTACTATTATTAAGACAGAAATCATAGTGGCTAAAGGCATGGGCTGTGGAATCAGAAAGCCTTGGGTTGGAGTCTGAGCTGTGCATCATAGGATGCAAGGCCTTGGGTAAGGTTACTTTATACTCTGAAGGCCTGGAGACTGGGAATACAAATATACAGAATTTACATAAAGTAGTTAACACAGTGCCTGGCTAATAGCTAGTGTTCAGTGAATGTTACTTGCTCTTATTTCTGTAAGAGTTTCTTTGCTCACCAGCTCTCAACTGCAAGTGGAGAAAGTGCCATTTGCTTTTCTCCCCACCTATGTCCTAGCCCAAACCTTAAACAAAATCTCAAGTTTAGTGGTGACAGTAGAAAATATTCACTGTTTCCTTATCACTATTCCCTGGGTATCAACTCCTTGTTTACAAATAAACTAGTCTGAATTTCCTGCACTAACGAAGCAGAGCAGGGTGAAGGATAATCCAAGAGGCTAATCTTTGGGGTGCATTCTCTGATTTCTGCTTAGTGGAATTACTCTGCTAATTACATGGCTATATTTGCTTGGGTTAGTGTTAACATTCAATTGCATTCCTGAAGCATATGTCAGCTGGGGCGGGGAAGACAGCCAGAAGTATGCTAGACATCAGAGGAAAACTGGATCAGGCTTAAATATTAACCACAATTAATCCCATAAAGTGGATAATAGAAAGTAAACTGTGACTCTTTGTTTCCTTCCAACTCTGAAATTCTAAGACCCATACAACACCTTGAAAAGCATGCACTCTATCCTCCAGCCACTCCCCCCTCCCAGTATATTACAATAATGTTGAAGAAGCAGCTGGAGCATCTGGGTGTATAACTAGTTTTGTTTCTGCTGGGCCAGAAAGCTGGGTAATTGTACCAGGATCTTTCCTGTCACATCAGAGAATTACCCATAATTATGTGATAAAATGAAAATGCCTCTAACAGAAGCACACTCTCTGAGCAATTACAGGGAAATGATGACAGGCAGCTGAAAGCATTTGGCACTTGTGGAGTATGGGTCTTTCTCAGAGGAGAAGGGGATAACTGTGGAGAAAAGGGGAGTTTGGGGGGATGAGGGAGGTGCAAAGCGCTGGTGGAAAGGAGGCAGGAGGAAAACAATGGAACACGGAGTCACCTGGGCTTTTCTTTGCTGTGCACAAAGCGCACTTTTTTCTCATTCACATCCTTCCAGCTAAAATGGCCAGCCTTGTCGAGTTGCACCTCTTTCCCATTCCTCGAGAGCACTAGCTGCCCGTTGGTGGGCGTGCTCACAACATGGAACAGGAGGTCTTCGACCCTGCCATCCTGGTCTTGGACGTTCAGGAGGGAAAAATCCAGTGGCTTCATTAAACCAATGGCCAGGGTGAGAGAACCATTCACATGAAGACCAGGAGTGTGTGTTCTGCCTGGAAAACATGGATCCAAAGGTCAGGCTTGGTAATTCACAAATTAGGGGTGTGTGTGTATTTAAAGAAATAGGCTTGCAATGTTCATTCAGAGAACTACAAAGATGAGGCTCTAGGCTACTGTCCACCATAAGCTTCCTTCTAATCCAGTGGTTCTCACTGTGGATGCACAGGGAAAGAACACAGGCTCTTTTACAGGGGTGGGGAATGTCCAGCCCGAGGACCAAATAAGAAATCATTTGGCCTGGCCCTGCCTAGGCATTAGGGGTGAGTTAATTAAATGTTTGACCAAATATCGCAGGCTAATTTTTAAGTTGATAATTTTGTATGGCCCACGAATGATGATATAAATATCCAAATGGCCCTTGGCAGAAAACAGGTTCCCCATCCCTGTGTTAAACTATAAAACTCCTAGAAGAAAATAAGGAGTAAATCTTTGTGAACTTGAATTAGGCAATGCTTTCTTAGCTATAACACAGAAAGCACATGTGACAAAAGAAAAAAATAGATATATTAGACATCATTAAACTAAAAAAAAAATGTTGTGCTTCATCAGGACACCAGCAAGAAAGTGAAAAGATAGCCCACAGAATGAGATAAAATATTTACAAGTCAGATATCCCTGAAACTGAACTTGAATCCAGAATATATAAAGGACTCTTCCAATGCAGTAAAGACAACCCAATTTTAAAATAAGCAAAGAATTTGAATAAGCATTTCCCCAAAGAAGGTATAAAAAGGCCAATGAGTACAATGAAAAGGTGCTCAACATCATTAACAATCAGGAAAATGCGAATTAAAACCACAAAATGATGCCACTTCACACCCACTAGGAATGATGGTAAAACCTGTTCCTGAGGATGTGGAGAAATTAGAACCCTCATATATTGCTGGTAGGAATGTAAAGCAGTGTAGCTACTTGGGAAAACAGTTTTGTAGTTCCTCAGATAATTAAATATAGAGCTACTATCATATGACCCACCAATTTTGCTCTTGGACATATCCTCAAGAGACTTAAAAACATATATCCACACAAAAACTTCTACACAAATGTTCATAGCAGTATTATTCATAATAGGTAAAAAGTGGAAACAAGCCAAATGTTCAACTGATGAAGGAATAAAAAGGTGGTATATCCACACAATGGAATATTATTCAAGCATAAAAAAAGAAATGACATACTGATACATGTTACAAATGGAGAAACTTTGAAAACGTTATGCCAAGTGGAAGAAGCCAGACATTAAAGGCCACATATTGTATGACTCCATTTATGTGAAATGTCCAAAATAGGCAAATTCGTACAGACAGAAAGTAGATCAGTGGTAGCCAGCGGCTGTGGTGAGGGAGTGATGGGGGAAGACTCCTAATTGTTACTGAATTTCTCTTTAGGGTAAGTAAAGTGTCTTGGAATTAGATAGTGGTGATGGATGCATAACTTTGTGAATATACTAAAAATATATGAAATATCGCTGCATTGTATACTTTAAAGGGCGAATTTTATGGTATGGGAATTATATTCAATAATAATAGCAGTAAAGAATCACATAGGGATCTTTAAAACAATACTGATACTTGAGCTCCACCACCAGAGATCTTGACTTACAGGTTCTGGGGTGGGCCCTGCATGATTTTACAAACTCCCAGGCAATCGATCCCAATAGGCTCCAGGGTTGAGAACCACAATCCTAAGACATCTGTCATATCTGGCCATCAGACCCACCAAGGGCAAGAAAAGAGGTAAGTGTTTAATACCACTGCTAGAATAGTACCAGTTAATCTCCATTGAAGTAGGATTATCAATGGCTTATATTCAGAATTCATGTGAAATATACACACTTTGTTTAAAAGTTTTACAATCTTTGTCCACAGGAAACATCCGATGGATGAATTAGGATTTCTGACCATTCTGTCTCCTGCGAGTTGTTTTGCCTGGACTTGAAGGTAGGCCAGACAGGACAGTTAGCGATGCCAACTTTCAGGGGGACTTCTTCTTTGTAAGATTACTAACGAAGGTGAGAGTAATTCACATTCGCACATTGACTAGTATTACATCCTAAGAGGAACAAGCTGACTCTCAAGTACTTGTTGTTTCTAGAAGGATCCCAATAAAATAAGACAAAGATACTTTTTCTCATGTGAAGTTTTAATATCTTTAGAGGTCAGAAATACAGAGATGGGAAATATGACTGACTGCATGCATTAAAGTATGCCTCCTGTTATTGATAAAGGATACCCAAAGCCAAGGAATGCTCAGCTCTAACAGAACTCCCAAATTTTATTCCCCTCTAAAACTTTTGAGGTTGAAAATTAAGACAATTTAAATTTGCTTCTCTTTGTTATATAAAGTGTTCATTGATATTTTGGACAAGACTAGCTCCACCCTTTTAACTTGTTACCTCATTCTTTTTTTAAAAAATATATATTTTTAACTGGATGGATGAGAAAATCAACAACCTATGCAAGAATCAGGAAGAAATGAAAAGTGATATAGCTACAATCAAAAACACCATGGAAAGTTTCAACAGCAGACTAGAAGAAGCAGAGGACCGAATTAGTGAGTTAGAAGATAAGGCAGAGAAACAAGCTCAATCTGAACAGCAACTGGAGAAAAAAATTAAAAAACAGGAGGTCATTCTTAATGGCAAACAATATGGCTTGAAATCTATTTGCTTCAAATGTATGAACCTAATGGGGCAAGCTCCTCACACTATTCATTATTTACTTATAAGTTATCTCCAGCATGTGCACAAAGGATGCACCATTGCATCCTGGCATTATCACTCTACAAGTTTATATAAATATAAATAAATTATATCTATATAAGTATATATGTAATTTTCTGCAACATAGTTGTAATTCAAGAACATAAGTAAGTTTTATGCCAAATTTCTGATCTGACAATTGACTTTCTATTTATTTATTTATCCTCACCCGAGGATATTTTTCCATTGATTTTTAGAGAGAGTGGAAGGGAGAGAGAGAGAGAAATATGAATGTGAGAGACACATCAACTGGTTGCCTACCACACACGCAACTAAAGTACATGCCCTGGACCAGGAATCAAACCCAGGATCTTGGTCTGCAAGGCAACGCTCTAGCCACCGAGCAACCGGCAAGGGCACAGTTCACTTTTTAAAAAGATTGCTTCTTTATCTTCTCTAAAAAGTTTAGAAGTTGAGTTTTCCCAAGCTCTCACATTCTATAAAGATTTCCTTATTCCTAGCGGCACCGGTGTTTTCCCCAGGAATGGGAATCCTGCGTTTTATACCACATGAGTCCACTGCATGTGCACACACAGCCTCTGCATGTAGAAACTGCAGGTGAACTCATCAGCCACCAGTGGAGAAGTACTTACCAGCACATGTTTCGTTAGATGAGTGGGCAGAGAAGCCAGGAACACAGTTGGAAACGCAAAGGCCACTTTTCAGAGAGAACCCATGGTCACAGCGGTGACACCGGCTTCTGTGGCTGCACTGCAAGCACCTCCGAGGGCAGGCTATTGAAGAGAGGACACACTAAATGATGCACAACAAAGGCACGGGCACCCAGCCAGGGCCACCAGGGTAAAGCAAAGAAGAGTGAGAGCACAAGCACACATGGCCGCCAACTGCAGCAAAAGAGAATTCCAACAGTCTCTTACAGAATTTCACAGAGAGCTGATCAACCCTCGGAAGGGAAGTGATAGGGAGGAGCACTCTTGCCTTATACACTGTGATCTGAAAATGTTTCACATAAATGAATTGTTTAGAAGTTAACCATATTGACTTGTAAGAGAGGCAGTTTATAGTGATTAAGAGCATAGGCCTTTTCTGGGTACCGTTCCTCCGCTACCACTTACCAGCTGCCAAACATGGGTAAGTTCCTCTAACAATCTGTGGTGCAAGTTTCTTTTTCAAAAAATGGGGAAACTGATAGCACCTAATACAAATGATTGTTGGGAGGAATACGTGTGCTATGTACGTCGTGAGTAGAACAGTGCCTGGCACACAAAAGGGCTCAATCGCCCTACAACTATCACTGCTACTCTCCTATTTTTTTTAGTTATTATTATTTTAAATGCAACAGGTGATCAAGCTATTTAAAGGACCATAGATGATTTCTTTGGGTCAAGTTAATAATCTAGAATTATTTTTCTGCTTCGGTAAATAAGATTTTGTTAGAGAAATGCAGCACAGTACAGTTTAAAAGGCACTGGATTAGAACAAAACAACTTGGGTTTAATATTTTATTTTATGTTGCCCTCCTGTTTAATACTCTTAGCCTCTTTGATTTTCCTGTGTGTGTGTGTGTGTGTGTGTGTGTTGTTGTTGTTGTTTTTTTCACTTGCAAAACAGGATTCATAGTGCCTGCCATATTTTACCAGGCCATTGTAAATATCAAATGATACAATGCTGATGAAGGAAATTTGGTGAAGTATAAAATGCTAAGCCTGGGTAATGGCATTACTATTAAATGTCAGGTGTTCATTAAAGTGGGGCAAACAGTACTAAGTTTTGACAGAAATGATGAGAACACACTAAGGAAACTCTCCTCAATAACTCAATAGACAAGGTAATTTAGACTCTGGGCTTAACTTTAGTTTCATAATAAAAGATTAATGTGTCTCACTAACGTATCTCCAGAAATTCTACTCTTCAAGGATATTATGGCAACTATCAGGATCACTGGTTATTTAGTCTACACACTGAAAATTCTATGCTCATATCTACAGGGCTGATCCACTCTTAATGGGTATACGTAAGCTTTACATTCCATAAAATATTGGCCTCATTTCCATAAAGACTGTTAGGGACAATATTGATTTGTGCAAGAGAATTATTGGCCTGCTCTTCTATATTCCATTTAACCAGCAATTGGCGGAGTGCATGGGAAGTCATCAATTGCTTAGGCCAAGCTCCCTGGGTTTTCATGCTACTTCTGATTCCAATTCTCCTTGGTTACCTGAGGACCAGCACACCTGAATAGCTTGCTCCTTTACGTTTTTCTAGAGAATTCAGCCTGGTTTCCAAGTTACCTGCACATTTGTGACTGGCATGATCTGCAAAGTATCCCTTCCCACATTCCTGGACACACTGGGCTCCCAAGAGGAGAAATGGTTCCTCACAGCGGGTACACTCCTGGGGACCTTGGCACTGGAGACAGTGGCTGTCACAGCCTGAAAGACAAGTCAAGTTGACAGGAATGTGTATGGCTTTCCCAGGGGCTCCTGGTCCTGACAGTGAGGCAGTGTTAGACAGCAATGAGCGATATAACCTTGTGGCTGGGCAAAGCTGCAGACAGGAGCAAGGAGTCGGGCTCCTGGTTGAGACTGTCATACTTACCAGCTGGAGGACAGAACTAGTTACTCCACTTCTCTGAGCCTCAGTGGTCTCTCCTACAAAATGGGAGTGGACATACTATCCCCTTAGCTCCCTGGGTGAAGATCAAATTAAATAATGGAAAATACTAGGCAAACTAGAAATGAACAGGTATTAGCCGTTATTGTTATTAACTAGTCCTTGGCTCTCTGTACCATTTTTGCTGAAATGTCAATCTTTTCCTGACTCACCCAGTCAGTTATCAGAGTCTCTCAACAATGCTCCCAAGAATGTTTTCTGGGCACTTTGGGTGGGCATTTCAAGGTCTGAAGATCTTGTGGAGTTAAATTGAGGCTGACGGGGTCCTGGACCAGAGAAAGGTGATGGTGAGATATAAGCTGTATGGAGGGCTGTGGGAAACAGATGGTGAATAATGAGGTCTGTCCATGTACTCAAGGGACCAGAGGACACAGACCTTTCCATCTGGAGTGCAGGCCTGTTCAATTTTTAAAGAAACCCAAAAGTAATGGCCCAAACATACCTGTTCCATGGCCATACATTCCCATTATTTCCACAGTGCCCTCAAATTTTAGGAAATGTATTTGGGCACCAGAGAAAGGAAAAAGACATTTTCATTATACCAAAGAAAAGTTCTCAGAAAAGAAACCAGAAATTAGACACAAAGCCAGGATGGGAACCAGCCACAGGGTCCTTCTCAGAACAGCACAACGAGAAGAGGCTGAAGCTTGGATGAGCACAGAGCAGGGGCTCCAGACACTTACCCTTGCAGAGGCCCGAGTCCCGGTAGAATGATGGTGCGCACTGCTCCACGCAGGTGCTGTCCTGGAGAACGTAGCCATCCATGCACTGCAGGCAGTCTGTCCTCAGAGGCCCGCTGCACGCATTGCAACTCCAATCACACTCTAGAAAGAAAGGCCACGTTAGACCAGCTTCCTTTCTTTCCGCACCTAATTTATGAGGATACTGCCTGCAGCTGCAAGGGGGAAAGTGAGTCCCACGTAAGAGATGTCAGACAAGTGAGCTCTAGCGACTCTACTGATAGTAGCCCGGGCACTTCTCTGAGGTTTAGTGTTTCCTAATGATGTTAGACATGAGCGTGTACATGGATCACTCCTGCTCCTGAGCCTGTTTGTCAGTAGGGCTGCTGAGGAGCCAAGTCAACTCGATCTTATTCCACAAGCCCCCAGTTCTTTATCCCTGAGTCACACATCTTCATGCAAAGACTGCTGTAGGGAATGGCCAATTTGCAGACCCCCTCCAAATGCTTGAGAGAGAAAGGATGTCAGAGAGTCAACTAAGAATGCATCTGCTATCTCCATGATCAGCCCACAACTCTCTACTTCTCAAAAATCAGGTGCTGACCAACAGGACAGAAAGAACCAACAATGGTAGAGTTAGACAGGGCATGAAGGACCTGTCCAGAATAAAAGGCTTACTGAAGGAACAGACAATCTCACGTAGAGCAGAACCGATTCATTTACAGGTTCATCCACTCAGCCAGCACCTGCAGGATACTCAGCACTGAGCGAGGGTGTAAAGTGAGAGGTGTAGACCCTGCCCTCAAGGACCTTATGTTCTAGTGGGTCCCAGCCCGAGATGTGGCCCAAATAATCCAGTGGGGTTGTTAGAAACACAGGTGGCCCAGTCGGCATGGCTCAGTGGTTGAGTGAGCGTCGATCTATGAACCAGGAGGTCATGGTTCGATTCCTGGTCAGCGCACAGGGCCAGATGGTGGGCTCCATCCCCAGTAGAGGGTGTGCAGGAGGCAGCGGATCAATGCTTCTCTCATCATTGATGTTTCTATCTCTCTCTCCCTTCCCTTCCTCTCTGAAGTCAATAAAAACATATTTAAAGAAATAAAAGAAACAGGTGATCAGGCTTGACATCAGAACTACAGTCAATCTCAGAGGTTGAGGCAAGAAAAACATGTTGCTGCTGCTATTGCTTTGTTACTGTGATTACTATAGCTGTCGTTGCTATTGTTTTAATGGCCGAGGCAGTTCAGATACAGTCAGAAAACTCTTGTTTGAAAACAAAGTGCTTGCTAATAAGGTATGTCCTTCATGCATGAGAGATGGGACAGCAGCATGGTTAAGGGCTTGGTTTTGAAGTTAGGTAAGTCTTTATGCAAGTTGTGGCTTTGCTGCTTTTTATCTGCATATCTCACATGCCTCCCTTAAACGTTTTAAGCCTGTATCCTTGTCTGTAAAACAGAAATAAGAATCATACCTATTGATACTTTAATTATAACTAGTGTCTATAGTAGAGTTAGAATCGATTGTAGCCCTCAGATGGGGATTTAGTAGTATGCAAAATCTCTGCATGAGAAGATTTGTGGGGTATAATACATTGTTGCGAGTAAGGTGCTCAGATACTTAAAATAATATTTATAAAAAAGGAACTATTAACAGTGCAAAAAATAGTTTCTTTGTTTGTGTGTGTGTTTTTTGTGTGAGTGTGTGTTTGCATTTTTATCATCTATCTCATCCAAGGTATGAAAAAATATTTGGTTTAATTTAAACAGCTAACTTTGTCAGGGAACTGGTGCTATAGAATTAGAATGGGTTGTAGCCCTCAGATGGAGATTTAGTAGTATGCAAAATCTCTGCATGGGAAGATTTGTGGGGTATAAATACATTGTTGTGGGTAAGGTGCTCAGATACTTAAAATAACATTTATGAAAAAGGAACTATTAACGGTGCAAAAAATAGTTTGTTTTTGTGTGTGTTTTTTGTGTGAGTGTGTGCTTGCATTTTTATCATCTATCTCATCCAGGGTATGGAAAAATATTTGGCTTAATTTAAACAGCTAACTTTGTCAGGGAACTGGTGCTAGAGATACTTTGGAATTCTAGAAATATTTGAGCAGAACTAAAATATAGCATGGGTGAATTAGACTTGAGCCACAATAAATAATTAGGGACATGATGTTCTCTAAATATGGAAATCCTCATCCTTGAAGAGTACTTATAGACTCAAAATGTCTGATGCTTCTTCTCTACAATCGAACTATTCTAATTTCAACAGGAATATTTGAGCATTTTTGGAGCTTAAGCCAAATCAGTGTAACAGAATAATATTGTATGCATTTTGAAATAAATTTTAATATATTTTAACTGGAAAAAAAGAATCATACCTATTGCATCAGGCTACTGTGAAGACTAAAATAATGAATGTAAAGAACGCAGTATAGTGCCTGACATATGGTAGCAGCTTCCTAAAGGTTTGCTGCTGAACTGTTTATCTTGGAGAAATATCTCCACTCAGTGCTGCCTCAGCCCACCTCCCCTCCCTGAGAAGAAGCTGGGAAAACCGCTCATTAGTCACTTTTCCTCTTCTTTGATGCAATATTTCTAAGTCCCAAGGAAGCAGGTAAACGTGCAAGACAGTACATGTGCTTCCAAGAAGATTTATAAAGTTAATCTCACTCATTTATTTGGCTGAATCAGTCCTGAGGGAAAATGACTAACATAGAGCCTTGAAAACTGCCAGCATGGTTACGAAATCATTTACAACAGGGAGGATTTGTGATAATCTTGTTTTTCACCGCAAACTAACAACCACTGGTTAGGAGGGAAGAAACAGAAAAGCTTCTTTGGTCTCGAGCACAGCAGACCACCTAAGTTGACAACCAAGGAGAATTTCCTGGAATGGATAGTGTGCAATGTTGCAAAGGCTTCAAGCATCCCAAGTTTACCGGACAGACGTTTGACCTCCATATCTGAGCCCTAGCTTCCCTGGTAGAACTGGAGATAAGAGGGAAATGTGGAATGGAGGAATGGAGAAGGGAAAGAACAAGAGCAAGGAAAATCACCCTTGAACTCTGCTTTTCCTCTGGCTGAGCACTGCCATTCAAAGAGCAAAATCCCCTAGAATTCCAACCACCGGAGAACAAAGAAAAAGGCAATTGGTTTTTGACATTATAAACTCCTCGAGGACAGGGACTGTGTCTTCACTCATTTCAGTATGTTAAGCAGAGATGAACAAATCAGATACAACTCCTGTCTGCATTAAGCATAGAGTCTAGCATTCTAGAGTTGTAAATGCAAGTGCCTATGGGGCCCAGGAAGGTAGTGTAAATCTTTTAAATAGGCCTGGTGTGATGGAATAGGGAACAATGAGGACGGTGGTGACCTTCGGAGATCATGCTCTATCCAACAGAGACAAAAGCTACTCATGCCAACCTCCTGTCGCATTCTGGGAATGCAAATCCAGTTTTGCCAGATCTTCTGACTTAGAAAAATCTCAATTTTTGTATGGTATGTTTTCTGATTTTTAAAAGGCAAATATTAAACATTTTGAAACACTGGAAGATTCGGTGGGCCAAATACAACCAGAGGGTTTTCAGTTTGCCACCCCTGGTCTCGTTACTATTAACTTACACAATGGCTGGTACATAGTAGGTGCTCAAAAATATTTGTTTAACCTAATAAATATTTTTCATCTCCCTGCTTGAACCTTTAATACATAAATTAATGAGTGAATACATGAATACATACATACATAATGACTCTTGCTATCATCAGAGAAAGTCTAAATGCATGATGACAGTATTTTCCCAAGGTGGGGGATGAACATCTATAGTAAAGGGGCATCACTGGTAAAAGAACTGTACAATTCAGGACGAGCTTCACCTTTGCATGTCTTGGTGGAGAAGTCAAGATAGTACTGTGGGGCACAGTTCTCATTCTGACAATCCCCAAAGAGCAGGACCTTGTTTGGATCGCGGCAGGAGGTACAGCTGGCCTGTGAATCACAGCTTCCACAGTGCGGGTTGCATGCTGAGCAGATAGGAAAAGAAAATGACCAGATGATTACAATTGCAAATACTGACATACTGATCAAACCTAGACAGATGCTGCAAAGAAACAAAGCCCAGCTCCAACCTGTTCCTTAATTATGGCTCATAGCCCTCCCCTGTGATCAACAGAAACAGAGAATGTTAGTCTTATTTTCCAACATTAAGAAAAGATGATCTTATTTTCCAGAAAAGATAAATTATAAACCCACGAATGGAAATCCCACATTCAAATTGCCTTGTGATTCAGCAATAGAATTTATACTTAGCCCGAGATCTCTGAAATGATAGATAGTCCAGAGTTTTATTTGAACCTTACTTCTTAAGGAATCAAGCCCCCTTAGTGAATGACATAGATTCAGATTTTATGTGATGACAAGATTAAAATTGGGCATCAACTTTAAGATACAATGGACTTAAAGGTGGCCTGGCTTATTGATTTGCCCTGTTGTGATTCTTAGCAACCATTTGCTTAATTTAGGCATTGAGGGATGATTCCTAAATCTGATCATACTCCCATCTTCCCTAACTGAGCAACTGGCATTTCTCCATCTACTCAACTATTCATGCTAGAAACCTTGGAGTCTATTTTGACAGCCCCTTTTCCTCACTCCCAATCACTCACTGGATCCTATTTATTGGAACTCTCCTATGTAATTCTCAGAACTTTTTGCTTTTCTCTATATCCACACATGCCACCAATAGATCCAGCCATCATCATCTCCTGCTGGACTGCTACCATAGTCTCCTAATTAGTTTCCCTAAATCTAATCTGACCCCTTTGCGATCTATTTTCCATGTTTCCACCAGAGTAATATTTTCATTCATATTGTTCAAGCTCCAGAGGTCAATTTCATGTATACATTTATATTTTTCCTGAATCCTGAAAAATTAATTTACAGCTTTCATTTCTACAAATATTGCTCCTCCATCATTCCCTTTGTTTGTCTCACCTATAAATTTTAACTCACATATTTGAATCCTCTCAATATAATCTCCAAGTCTTTTGTCTTTAACTTGTACTCATTCTCCAGGCTCTTCTTCAAGAAGGCCTTCCCTGATTCTCCAGTCTAGACTAGGTCTCCCAGTTACTGTTTCTATAACACTCCATACATTTCTTTCACGCCACATATAACCATTTTCATTTAAGTGATTATTTAACATCTGTATCCTTTAAGCTAAAAGCGTCATAAAAGTAAAGGCCAGGTTTGCTTTGTTCCTTGCAAGAATCCCAGCACCTAACTGGTTATCTATAATCTTGTAGGTGTTTAGTAAACACTTGTTACACAAATGAAAGAAGCCAGATATTTTAATTATATACCCTCAAGCACTAGCATCTCTGCCTCATTCTGAAATCTTCTCTAAGTATAGGTCACAGGAAAAGTCTACAGAGTGATCATGGGAGTTTTAAATCTATGGGGTATCAAAGCATGAGGCACACTGCAGGAAAATCACCTCCCTGTGAAATAAAAAGAAAGAAAACCTCTTGTTTTACCTAGAAGAAAAAGCAATGATATAACATATTCATTAGAGTATGTAGATTTGCAATGAAAGGTCCCATAAAAATTCTAGATGGGAGTTTCAGATAATTTGGGAATAGTTAGAAAAGAATATTTTAAATGTTGGAAACTTACATGACAATAACTTTTACCTTTTTTTTGTTTTAATAGGATTTCTACACATGGCGCATCTTAATTTTGGCAAAGTGTTTGATAATGATCCCAAAGATAAACTTGTGAATACAAAGTAAAGGGGCCTAGTAGTTGTAGGTGGTTTTAAAGACGGTTGAAATGCATACTGAAACGTGATCAGGAAATCTTTGTAATTGGTAAAAGAAATGTCTAGTAGAGTAATATGACCAAGTCATTATTTTTTACTTGATCAATATTTTTATCAATAACTGTTAATTAATGAAAACAATGATGTCATGCTAACGATATTGAAATATGCCATATATACCTATATAGGAAACACAGTAGTTAAGTTTTACCAGCTGAAAGAATAACAACTCAAACCTATTTTGCCAGTTGAAGCAATAAACTTTATTTCAGATAAAATAAACGAAACTATAAGCCCTACATTTATGTTCCATAACAAATTAACACAAATAGAGGATGCAAAAGGCCTTAGACAGCAATTCCTATAAAAAAGGATCTGAAAGTTTTAGTTGATTAAAAGCTTATTACAAGTGTGATATGGTTACTACGGAAATGAATACACTCTTGAGCTGAAGAGCCTACATGTAAACTAAATGTCACCTGGAACCCCCTACTTGATAGGGAGCTGCAAAAAGAGGCCCAAATGCCAGTTCCTTGGACTGGGGTCACAGGTCAGTACACAGCTGAGTTTCCTGTAATACTTCCTCAAGCCTCTGTCTGCCCCCATGCTCTTGAATCCTTCTATGCAGTCTTTCATATCACCTTGCCACCTCAATGTAAAACTCAGCCCCTTCACTGACTTCCAAAAACTATAGATTCACAATGAGCATCTTGAAACGTTAAGAGGATTTGGAGGGATGCACTAGTGTCACACTGAGAAGCACAGGCTTCCACTATTCCTGTCTGAACCATTCTTCCTCTCTCATCGATCCCCTCACCCTTCTCCAAGGCAATCTGCAAATGTGTTTGTCTCACTCAGGGCAGTTCTGCACATACCAGAGCCCCTTAGGTCCCCAGCTTCCATCTTCGGAGGGATGTGGGTAAGGAGCATTTCTACAAGCTATGAGGTGTTAGTCCTATTGCAGTCATGTTGGGATGACCACATCTGGAGTAGCAGGTGCAGTTCTCTAAGGTCACTGACTCCATGGATAGTAGACAGTGAAGAAAGAGATGAGTGAACTAGTGATTAATTTACTTGCTCAAGGTAACAAAGCTAGTAAGTGGTAGGTAGGATTTGAACTCCTGACTCTTGAGCCAACTCTCCTAACCACTACTCTATAATTGCTCCAACATTGTATTTCCTAGGACATAAAATTGAAATATCAGCACTGTATTTGTTAACTCTCATTTTCAAATGAGAAAGTATATATATATATATGTATATATATTGCAAATGACACTTCAATGATTGAAATAAAGTCAGCCACCTCAGTCCATTTTTAAAAGTGTTCTGTCATCTGTGAAGGATTTCCTAATTTGTTCCCTCAGATTTGCCCTTTCCCTAATTTATCCTAACTCTTTGTTTTGCCTGACTCAGTAATTAATCATATTTTGACTTCTTTCAAAAATAAGACATCTATACAATTAACTCTCATGCAAGACAAAATAACCACTGTTTGGGCAGAAACTAAATACTCTGTGCATGTCAAGCCCTCCATATTGTCAATATAATACAAATACATGTCAAAAACAAATTGAATCCAGAGAAGTGCTGAGGTTACTGGCTGTGTGCTAGAATGATCTCTGCTTAGGACCTTGTAATTCAAATGCTGAAGGAAACAACAAAAGGAAATAGACTAATATTTTTTATTTTTTAATAAAATAACTACAGAACAGAGAGATTAAATAAATAACTGACCCAAGATCACACATCTGGTACTGGCAGAGGAGAGGCCCAGCCCAGCACTTCGAATTAGGGTGATATCTGATTAAATCTGCTAATGGCATCCATATGCCTTTTTAGATTAATTTTCGTCCTTTTATAAAAATAAAGGATACAGGTAAGAAAACGAAGCAAAAGGAAAAGAGAGAAAACTCATGTTTTAAAACCTACATTGACAAGAATGGCTGTCATCGAGATAGTGCCCTGGGAAGCAGGTGGTGCTGCAGGTGCCAAGGTGGGACAGAACGAGGCCGGTGTCACATGAGGAGCAGGAGAAGGGTCCTCTGCCCTGGCAGGTTCTACAGGAGGAGTGACATTCTGCAGAGACACAAAGAGAACCTATGAAGCCAAACTCCTTTCCAAAGTAGTATCCCAAGAACTGTTCATAAAAGCCCAATGCTGGGGTGGGTGTGGGAAGGAGGGGGTCAATGGCGGGGAAGGGGGACATCTGTAATACCTTCAACAATAAGGATAAATTTTTTAAAAAGCCCCAATGCTGAGAACATTAGCTCTTCTGATTTATTATCACTGCGCTCCCTCTGCTCCCCTCCCTACCCCTGCCCTCCCCTCCTATTCTCTCTCTCTCTCTCTCTCTCTTTGTCTCTCCTATCTCTCTCTTTCCTCCACCCCAAGTCTCCTCAGCTATTACCCGAAAGAGAAGCTCAACAGGCCCCACCAGCTCCTGTGTCCAGCACTTACTTACTTTTACAAGCTCCTTTCTCCGTGTAATATCCAGAAGGGCAGTCGGGAACACAGTGGTCCCCCAGCAACAGGAACTGGGTGTTCTGGCACCTCAGGCAGATGCTCCCGGGGTTGTGGAGATCAGCTGCACATTGCTGGCACAGAGGATGGCAGTCTGGAGAGGGCAAGGGAGCACAGAGAAAGCAGATGATGGAAGCACCAAGACTCATCACTACACCAAAAGGGCAGATGGAACTGCAATTACCACCGTTGCAGCACAGACAGCTTGAGTGCCCCAAAGGCAGTATCTGGCAGTAGAGCAGACGTGAGGGATCTGCACAAATTGTGTGTTTGAGGTTTTTAGCAAATGGCCAGGCCCAGCACATCAATTGAGTTTTCATCCCTTTCCAATTGAACGACCTTCAAGTTCTAGGGCAGCTTGTGATAGAGATACTTGCAAGGGGTATACAGTGAACTGTCAGACTCACAGAAACAGTATCATCGATACTATCACCGTTTCCCCATGAGCTCTGAGAACTCGAGGACAGCATGCGCCCCCTTCCCCGTGCTTCTGAGCTGTGCTCACTGCCCTCCCAGATTCGGTCTTCCAGAGGCAGTACACCAGTCTCAGGCATTGGTATGGGGGGATTGGAGTTAGTAAATCATTGGGTTCAGATAGTGGAAAACTTTAATTTTTAACTAAAGGAAAATTTATGACAAAGAGTTATGAGTTGAAAATTCATTTTCATGACACGAAACATAGCTCGCAGAAACTCTGTTGTACCAGTTATGATTGAAGCTATAAGACAAATTACCTGGTATGGTGAGCGCTGCCTCTTATTCTTGCCCATATAATAGACATCCTTTAATTAAAGAACTTGATTGTGTTCATCTCCCATTTAGGTGAAAACATCTGTCCTGATAATTACCCTTTAAGTCCCATTGACCATCCTCCATTCCAAAGGTGGAAGAAAATACACAAATCCATAATTACCCACCAACATAAACAAGGAGTAAAAGCCCGAGGAAAAAGAAGAGAGAGCTCTGGTTATAAGGCCTTTCCATCTTCCCCTTTGGATTCAAAGCACTGTTTGTACTTGCTAATGTCTCACTCAGGGACCAGATAGTCTTGTTTCATCTCAAAGTCTTACAGATATAGACTGGGATATCTACTGATGTTTAGACTAAAAACAATTCTGTCATTGAAACAGATTGCTGACCCCTGAACTCTGCTAAAACAGGTCTTTCTCTCTATACCTTCAATCATACATTTTCTTAACTGCTGATCATCCGAGATGTGTTCCCTGTGCAAGAAGCAGATTTGAGTCCCATACCCAGCACCCACTCACCTTCATGAGAAGCCATGCTAGGACTTTTATAGTGACTCCAGCAGTTGAAGCAAAAGTCCTCAAAAATGCTGACCCTCCTGAAGCAGGCAAACTAACAGCCCCTGACCTTTCTCTGAACTTTGGGAGTTTCAAGTTACAGGCAGCCTTTGTTAGTATTAGGAACAATTCTGAATATCCTAAGAGCCAAATTAAGCCTCATGACAGCCCTTCAGAGATTCATAAAGGAGATTATGACTGTATGGAGAGAAATATGATAAGGAGGCAATTTTCCTTGATTTAATGTATGGTTTCCACACAATGCCAAACTTTTTAAAATCTTTACTCCTGCGCCCTACTCACAGTGCCAGGAGCACAGCCCTACATGTACAAAGGGGAGACTCAGAAAAGCTTTAAAAGTGGCTGGAGCAAATGGAGGAGGCTGTGCTTTGTGATTACCTAAATGCGTGGATACATGTTCGGATCGGGCACATTACTGACTCAAGGCGAGATTAGTTGAAAGGTCATGGCCTCTTCCTCTTTAAAGCAAGTACTTGCAGGGAGTTCTGGGCTCAGGCATGCATCAACAAGGTCTGCAGGTGTGCAGAGACCTAAACACTAGTTGCAACTAACTGCAGCTTTCTCTAGTGTGCAATTAGAGAAACGAAAGAGTAATCACCCAGGGGATGCTTTGAAGAGAAAGTAAGCAGGTCTCCGGAGTATTTTGTGTAAATAAATATTTATGGATTCGTCTTATCTTAAGGATCTCTAGAAGCTGTTAAAAAAAGGAGCATAATGTGTAGTATTATTTCTAAAGGAAGATAGAGCTGGGTTATGGACGCCCCTTCACACCTCATGGCAGCTGCTTTTAAACCTTTATTGCTCTTCTCTAGTCACCACCCCCACCTGCCCACCTCCTCCCTTCCCAGGTTATTTCATCTTCTACTTCTTTCAGCCCTTCAAGCATGAGCACCTTCAATTCCTCCCTGTCAACCTCAGCACATCTGTATTTACCCATTTTTATTTCACTCCTTCTCTCACAGAATGAAATGGCTAATTCTTCCACCTACATTCTTTTTTGTTGTTGTTATTAATCCTCACCCGAGGATATTTTTTCATTGATTTTTAGAGAAAGTAGAAGGAAGGGGAAGAGACACAGAGAGAGAAATATCAATGTGAGAGCAATACATCGATGGGTCGCCTCCTGCACAAGCCCCAGATGGGGCTGTGGATTGAGGCTGCAACCGAGGTGCACGCCCTTGACTGGAATCAAACCCGGAACCCTTCAGTCCTTGGGCCAATGCCATTGAGTCAAACTGGCTAGGCTTGACCAATTTCCAACATTATTTGAAATTCAGCATTATTGCATACTTTCCCTCATCTCTATTTACTTTACTTGACCTCAACTTCCAAATCTCAGGCCTCTGCTTCTCTCCATGGTTTCATGTTAAGTTTTAAGACATATCACTTGCATGATGGAATGAGTACCCAGAGGCAAAGAGAAACCAATAACTGACAACCGAAAATATAAAACTATCAACTGCAGGCTGCCCAAAGCATCACATTAATCCAAGTTGGGTTATAGTTTTACCTCACACACATAACTACCTGAGTCTGGAAAGTTGAACTCTCTAACTGTTTTGGTTCGCTACCTGTATTCATTCATTGTTCATTCATCCACAATTTAAAAAGTCTTCTAAACACCCAATCTCATGAATCGATTCATTCCAAAACAACAATGTGAGTGGGTCCCCTGGTAATACACTCATGCAAACCTCCATCGTATACAAGTCCCCAACAGAAGAGCACTTAAATAAAAATGCCCTAAAGTCGATCTGAAAGTTGACTGACTTTTATTAAACCAACCAGAAAAAAAAGTAAATTCCTAAAACCCAAGAAACACCTTTGTCTTAAGAAGCTTGACATCAAAATCACTTTGTAGGGGAGAGTATCTTGGGAAAGCTCAAAATGAGTGATGATGTGCAGGGAAAAAAGCCAAAAATCAGAGCAACCAGGGCTTGAGGATTAATACCAGTGTTCTGACTTGTAATCAGAGAAGTATAGTTCCCGAGGGCAGCCTACAGAATGCAGGCACGGCAGGCTGAAGTGGCCAGTCCCACCGGGCACCACCAGCAGCAAGCTTCAGGCTCAAGCCCAGCGTACTACTGTGACCTTCTTCCCAGGACAGGGGCTGAGTAGGACTCGAATGGGGATTTGAGGTTTTATTTTTCTGACTACAGAGTGAACTATGATTGTAAATATTAAGAACATTTTTACAGAGTTTAAATAAGCATAAAAATCACCCTATGTAGGCCTTTCAGATGAAATACTAACATTGACATTTTTCTTAGTTTTCTATACAATTATATATATATATATTTTTTAATAAATTAGGTGATATTAAACATTGTCGTGTAATATCTTTATTTTTACTCAATATCATCAGCATTTCTATGTGTCATTAGATACTCTTTGTAAACATAATTTTTAGGGGCTCTATGATATTCAGTAAAACAATGATAACACCTTTGAATATTTTAAATTACAGGTGACCCTTGAACAACACAGGGGGTTAAGGGTACCTACCCCGTGTGCAGTAAAAAATTTGTATATACTTATGACTTCTCTAAAACGTAATTACAGTCATCCCTTGGTATCTGTGGAGGATTGTGTCCAGGACCTCCTGTGGATACTAAAATCTGAGGATGCCTCATCCCTTATATAAAATAGTGTAGAACAATGTATACAGTTGGCCCTCTATATTGTTAGATTCTTAACCATAAATCAAAAATACTATTTTCCCCTGACCATTGTGGCTCAGTGGATTGAGCATCATTCCATGCACCAAGAGGCCACCAGTTGGATTCCCAGTCAGGGCACATGCCCAGGTTTTGGGCTTGATCCCCAGTAGCAGGTGTGCAAGAGGCAGCCTATACCGCACGGTTACCTGGGGCTGTCTTCTTCCCGCGCCCACACGGAGAAGGAGACTTGGACCGGTTCATGCAATCTAAGAGGCGTTTTTGGGATTGAAGAAATAATGAAAGACAGACATAAAATAGATTAAAAGCTTGGGCTGGGTGTGCCTGCCCTCTGGAGGGACAGAGCACGCAGAGAGAGAGCTCCAGCTCCAAAAGCTGCTTTATTATATACTTGAGTTACAGGAAGTTATATCACATCTGGGTGGGCCTTTGACATCATGAGTTCCATCCCCTTAACACTGGGCGGGAGAGTCAAACTGGGTGGCGTCCAATCTTTTGACTAGTCCCGCCCCCAGGGAGTGGCTCTGCCGGCCCCCTGAGTCCAACTGACGTAAATTAAGCCAAAGTGTATTCTAACAGCCCTTAGCAGCAGCCCATTGATATTTCTCTCTCACATTGATGTTTCTATCTCTCTTTCCTTTTCCCTTCCTCTCTCTCTAAAAAAAAATCAATAAAAACATATTTAAAAAATATTATTTTCGATATGCAGTGGTTGAATCTGTAAAACCCAGAGACACAGAGGATTGATTGTGTATTTGCTGAAAAAAATATCCATCTATAAGTGGACTTAGATTGTTCTAAAATCATGTTGTTCAAGAGTCAACTGTATTTCCTAAAAGACAATGTCAAAAGAGTACAATTCATATTATTATTATAGCTGACATTTATTGAGCTCTGAATGTATATCAAGCACTATGCTAATTATTATAAATACATAATCACATCAGGAAGATGAAGTAGGCATTGTTATTATCCCTATTTGAAAGACAAAAGAAACTGAGACTTAGAAGTTAAGTCTTTTGCTTGCACACACCATATCCACACTGACTCCAGAGCGTACACTTTTAACTACTAAAGACATGAAAAAATAC